GCACATTTTTTTGTGGGATCATTTATATGTCTTCCTATGACTGGGCATTCAACGACCCATTTGGCTTTCCATTGGGAATCGATGTTAAAGTTGTTGGGCAGATGTTGTGCAAGTGCCAGTCGGGGCTCCCTGGATTTGAGTCTTCCTGCTGATAAAAGAGGAAGGTTGGCATGCACCCGTAGGAGTTGTTCATAATTGCTCTATGTTTTCTCACTAGTGCATCTTGCCTTTGTAAAGATGGTGATACCATGGAGCTCAGAACAGGAAGCCAGCAAGTCAGGGCAATTTTAATACATCCACTTATAATCCTCATAGTGTCATTGAGTCTGGAGTCTAACTTACTGGTATGGTAGCTGTTAAGCCATACAGGGGCACAGTATTCTGCTGCCCAGTAGACCAGCCTTAGTACTGTTGTTCTGAGGGTGGCAACTGAAGGTCCCCATTTAGTTCCACATAATTTCTGGAATATGTTGTTCCTAATGTTGATTTTTGCTGCCGTATTCTCTAGGTCAGTGGTGGCAAATCTATGGCACGCGTGCTAGAGGTGGCCCACCCTATCTGTGGGCACGTGCGCTGTTGCCCCAGCCTCCCTCCCCTGTGGCCTCCTCTTCACCAGCAGCTCCCTTGGAGGAGAGTCACCCCCGAGCGCAGACTGCATGAAGGAGCGCAGCCAAGGACATGGCAGCCAGGCAGCGGAGACAAGACTCCGCCCTCGCACTCTGTCATGCGCAGTTGGTGGTGTGGGGCGCAGGTGGAAGGCGTTGCTGACATGGTGCTGCTGGGCTGCCTGGACAATCTGTGGTGGGCCGTGAAGGTGGTGGGTGGCCCTGTGGGCAGGCGGGATGAGGCGAGCTGCGGGTGGGGCGGGGGCAGAGTGGGGCCGGGGCAGTTTTTGGGCACTTGGTCTCTAAAAGATTTGCCATCAGTGCTTTAGGTGTATCTTGTGGGGGAAAGTTTGGTCCAATGTTACTCCAAGATGCTTTGGATGGGGATCATAGGAAAATAAGTTGTTGTTTAAGTAGAGCTTCAGGGCTTCACATGCTACTTTGTTGTTAAGGTAGAAGCACATAATTACTGTTTTGCTGATGCTAGGAGTGGGCCTCCAGTCAGTGAAGAATTTTCCCAAGATTTTAAGATCTTTGGACAGGAGGATGTCAGCAGCCTCACAAAGACTCACATGACGGACAATGTTCCATAATTAATCATTCCTATATTTTCCTATATTTTGAAACATTTATTTTAACATTTATTTCAAAAGTTGCCTTGATAGTAATATTAAAAGATGACCAATATACATTAAAAGCCACCTAGTTCTTTAAATGTAAATTTTATTCATCATATTAATTTTTACTTTTGAGTAACACTTGTTAGATTTGGGGTGTTAACTTTACAGAATTAGTTCAGGAAATATCAGTATTGCCCTATTAATTATACTCCAGCAACTAGGATGCTATAATGTCAGCTGTAAAAGGCATGCAAAGATATTAATCACCAGCTGATTCAACAGTGTCAAAAGGAAATACTTCAAATAGTGCACTGCATAAATAAGCTACCTGAAATTATTTCTCAAAATTTATAGAAATGGTTACTGGCTTATGTGACTTAAAAAAAAACTAAACAAAATAATGGATCAACCAATTTCATATTTGAAAGCAAGAGGTAGGTCCACCATAGGGCAGCCCTTATAGTTCTCAAAAATGAGTCTTTTCAGACACAGACTTAGGCAGACCTCAAGCAATTTCTTACTATAAGCAAGGAGTACAATACCTGTAGAAGTGTTTACAGGTAATCCTTGATTTACGACCACAATTGAGCTCCAATTTTACATTGCTAAGGAAGACAGTTGTTAAGTGAGTGTTATGATCTTTCTTGCCAGCTATTAATTGAATCACTGCCATTTGTTAAGTCAGTAACACAGTTGTTAAGTAAATCTGGCTTTGCCATTGACTTTGCTTGCCAGAAGCTCACAAAAGGTGATCACACGACTCTGGGACACTGCGGTGATCATAAATTCTTGCAAGTTTCCAAGTGTCTGAATTTTGATCACATGACATGGAGTGCTGCAACGGTCATAAGTGTAAATGGTCATAAGTCAGTTTTTTTAATGCCACTATAACTTTAAATGGTCACTAAATGAATGGTTGTCACTTGAGGACTACCTATATTTGGTTTACAGCCCACTCCAATTTACATGTTGAGGATGATAACATATTCTTGCAAATATTAAAGTAGATTCAGTGCTGAAAATTCTAGTTTCCTATAAGTGTCTTTTCCTGTAAGACTTCTTTTCTTTTTATCCTAGCTCAGTCTTGATTTTGATTTGTTTTTAAAAGTGATGGAAATCTATCACATATAATAGATCCTCAATATATTTTCCCATGGGATTTAAACTGATAATAAGCTGGAGATGTTATAAGCTGTTGTGTCTGAATGGAAGACTAGAGACTCATACATATCTCTTCACCTCAACCCACCCATGAGAATCTTCCCAAGTTTTCTTTGTCAATAGGAAAAAGTGACTTTTTCATCAAATAATGAAAGGTATGGGTGAAAAAAATGCAGAAGAAATTTTGAACACAAAAGTCATACATAGATTAAACTACTTTTAGGTTATTTTCAAATAGGTGACCATCACCAACACTTGAATTTGTTTGCTTGATAGCCTTGGAACGAACAAGAAATTAGAGTGGTCTTTTTCAAGATCAGAAGTGCTACCCTATTTTCCTTTGTACATCCCATAATGCCCAGTACAGAAGGCCATTTAAAGTTCAGCATGCATTAATTATAATGCATATTTTATGACTCCATTTTGTTTTTAATTAATATTTTAATTAGCAATGAAATAATTTTCTGCATTTTTTCATTCAGCAAGTAATTATTCAAGTATTATAGTGTCAGCGTATGTGATCACTGCTACAGCGATAACGTAAGAATTCTAATGATTAAAAAGAACCCTTCTCATTTCTATCACAACACAATCAGAAAAGCTTTTAAAAATATATTGTCAACATTATGCTACTTTATTTTGGTATACCACTTAAACTTCCTATTTAAAATGTGTTCAAAAAAGGTAAAAGATGTATTAAAAGCAAAGGTATATCATAAAATGGCTCTTACAGCAAAGATTAGAAATGTGGATGACAGAGTGACCACAGTTCACTGCTCATGTCAAGACTTAAAAGAATATACAGATAGTCCTCTCTTATCAACTGCCTTGTTCAGTGGCCATTCAAAGTTGTGACAACATTGAAAAAGTAGGTTAACAACTGGTTCTTGAACTTGCAGCTCTCTATGTCTCCACAGTGACATGATCCTGACTCAGCCATTGGCTGAGTCACAGTGTAATAAGTGTAATAAGGACATGTGATTGTCTTTTATGACCTTCACAGCCAGCTTCAACAAGCAAAGTTAGTGAGAATGCCAACTGGAAGTTTGCAAACCACAGTCACATGATGTCATACTTAACCACCTATAGCAGGGGTGTCAAACTCACCACGTCACGTGACATGTCGCCCGGACCTATGGTGATTCACTTAACTAAAAGTAGAATCTATGTCTCACTTAATGACCCTGTTGCTTAGCAAAAGAGTTGTTGGTCCCAACTGTAATCAGTAAGTGAGGACTACTTATATAGGTGTTCATTTCTTTTCATTGTAAAAAAGTGAAACTGGATTTTTTGGGACCTAAGACAGATGGGAAAACCTACAAGGAATATATTCTAGCATAACAATGCCCAATAAAATTGAGAAAACAAGAAATAGCTAATGTGAAAACATGTCTAAGCTGAACAGCTGGATGACTTCTTGCATCAGAACTGCAGGAAAATCCCTACCAATGAATTTCAGAGAGACACAGGATGTAAAATGACACATACTTCAGGATAATTGTTATGTTAGGAACTCAGATCTTGATACTCTACCTGCCACTGTCATTGTATCTGCAATGCTTTGGAAGAACACCAGTTTCAAAGTTCAGTCTGGCAACTAAATCAATTCCATCTATTGGTGTCACATGTATTGATAATGAAGAGTTTTCTTTAAAATAGAGACCAGCATACAGAACTTCTCTATTTGGTAAGCAACCCAGATGTGCGAAGGGTGATGGATCAGCAAACCAAAGAACATAAGTAGTGCCCCTGGCCCATCTAGTCCACTACTCTATTCCCAAATGGCCAATCAGAAGCAGAAAGAAGCCCACTACTACCCCAATATATAGCCTTCTGCCATCAAGGCTAACAGCCATTGATCCCCCTGACTCCAACTCTTTTTTTGAAACCAGCCAAGTAGGTAGCCACACATCTTGTGATGGCAAATCCCAGAGTTTAATTATGTGTTGTTAAAAGTAACCCTTCTGTCTGTCTGTCCTGGTTCTTCCAGGATTCAATTTCATTGGGTGATTTTTGGATTGGCCCTAGGATTTGGGGAAGGGGAAAAGATTGAGGGGAGAACATCAACACTCAGGGAGGCCGGTGCCAACACCTAATGCTCTTTCCCAAGTTCCAACGGTCTGGTAAGACCACAACAAACAACAGGTGGAAGAAGAAAACATGCGTGCTGTGCCTTTAAGACCCAGAGCTCCGGGAAAGGATCACGCAAGGGCGGCGCTTGCTTTTTGCTTCACACGTTGGGAGAAAGGGTACATTTCAGCAAAGCCCACCCGGCTGTGGCGGAGGACGGCCCTCCGTTAGTCCGAGGGCAGCGTCCGTCGGAAGGAGGGGGCGCGCGTTTTCCATGCTGGCAACAACCCGCCGGAGAACAGTTTGGGTCACATGAAGCAAAAGAAGGAGCAACGGGGGAAATGAGGGTCGCGTGCTGCTGGGGCGGCCCAGACCTTTTTGTTCCTCCGGGGAGAGAAAGTGGGGTGGGCAGCAACAGCTTACAAGGCTTGTGAGTATACTAGGAGTGTGTATGTAAGGGGAGGGGGGCGCCTTGGAAGAAGCAGGTGGATGAGCGCGCCTCGAGATGACAGCAACTAGGCCAGACCGAGCGTGCCAGGATTACCTGTTTGTGGGAGTCGTGGGCTCCGAGGCGGTGAAGGAGGAGGCGTCCAGAGCAGAGGGGGCCGCGCTGTCCCCCGCTGCCACTTCGTCCTTACTTTGCTGCTGCTGCTGCCGCCGCTGTTTCTTCTTCAAGCGCCACTGCCCGAAAGCCGAGCGCTTCTTGAGCTCTCCGGAATCGACGGTGGCGGTGGAGGAGCAGCTGGCGCGATGTTCCCGCCGACCCTCCAAGCACGGCGAAGGACAAGGCGAGGAAAGCGGCGTATCCTTACCGAGGTCCGGTTCGGAGTCCTCGGATTCGCTCCTATGGTGGAAGAGCCGCCCGAGCCTCTTGAAGCCCCCTTTCTCCATGCTGAACAAGCGGAGCTGAGGTTGACCCTTGCAGCGGCGTTTACAACCGCCTTCGGCCAAACGGCTGAAGGATGGCCGGGGAGAAGCGCTCGGTTTGCGCGCTCCGTCGGGAGACGGTTGGAGAGGAGGAGGGGAGGAACAAAGCGCCTCCTAAAGGTAGCAGAAGCTGCTCCTAACTGCGACTCGGACCGCGCCCTTCCCACCTCCTTAGCTTGGCGTGTGCAAACTTTCTTCAGAGAGCCATGAATTCGCCTGGCTCCACGGGTTCTCCTCTCCGCGTTTCTTCGAGCCTTTAGCGAGTTTCATTGCTCCTTCTTGTTCCCGCGTCTGCAGCTACTTTCTCGGATGTCGGAACCTCTCTTGTTCTCTATTTAGACCGCTCCAGCTCCCTCTCGCACTTTACGTTTTTTCCCAGGAAGGGAAAGGCTAGTCTTAATCTGAGGGTGCTGATTGTAAGGCAGCACTAAGTGCTGTTGTTTATTTCTGATAGAAACGAAATTATCAACACTTTGGATCCCCTGTGCCGGGAAGGGCTGCAGGTTTCCAGAAAACCGTACGAACAAGATAAACTTATACATTTAAGGTAGTGCGTGACAGGCTTGTGTTTTCTTCGCTGAAAAACGCCCACCCCTTCACCATTAATGTGGCAATCCTTTTCTCGCCACTGAACTCAAGATTTATTTCTGAGGATACAGGCATGTAGTAGCTTGCGCTCTAAACCTGATTCTAAACTTTGCATATCTGAAAAACGTATACATAGGAAAAAAGTAAAGGAAAAGCAAAGAGACGTAATAGCTTTATTCAGGAAGTGTAGGTACATTTTTATGAGTAACCTTTCTTTCCCAGATAACAAACCTGATTCTGTAGGAATTACCCTGCCACCCTTCAATTTATGATAGAAAAAGTTCTGATTTTGGCTCCAAAAATGCAAAAATTTAAAATTATATTGATGTTTGATGAAAAATAACACACAAAGACGTTTCCTGTCTTTGCAGACAACAGAGGATCTTCAGTGATTTAGGAGTACTGCAGTGCTTAAAAGTAATTTAGTTGAATCTGAACTGATAAAAGGACCAAAGCTTACTCTATGCAGGTTTCAGAAAAACACCTAATATTTAATTTCCTTTGACATCCAAGCCAACCTACCATTTAAAAAAACGATAAAAATAATACTGTGCTAAGAAGGAAACCAGTAAAGGAAGTGGGCATGTTTGCTGCTGACATATCTTTGTAGATCCTAGAATTTGTCTGTCAGGCAAACCTGTGGGAGTTTTTTGCGTTTTTCTTCCTGTCATCTATTATTTCCTTTTTTCCCCCTAGCCTGCTTCCATTTCCCTGAGAAAATATTTATGCATGACTCTTCAAAAGTCCTATTCAACTGGATGGAATTTGCTTTCATGTGAGCAGATAGACAATTACCACATCAAAACATAGATTAAAAATATAAATTTCAGGCCAGCCACTTTTGTTTTAATGGTTCTGGGTTTCAAATAAAACAAATTCTCATAGGAAAAGTAAGGCAACAGTGGATGGAACAGTGCACTCTCCTGTTCCAGCAGTTTCCAACATGGCATATTCTACCTCTGACAATTTATTCCCATCTCAACACTACTGCTCAAAATAAAACAAGCCTGTTTGCTGTATTTGGAACAAAACAACTCCATTCATCCATTTACTAACCAAAACACCGGCAAAGTGTGTTTCTGCTCAGATTCAAAGCTGGAATATTTTGACATGTTTACAAACTATCCAATATTATCATTTAAGAAATATGTATTTAGGTTGTCATTCAATTATTAACAGCTTAACCTGTTCACATCTTAACCACAAAATCACTATGCATGCTGCTAGTCCATTATCATTCTAGAATAATCTGTATCCAAACATTAATAAGGATAAGATTTTCCTTTTTAAATAGTACAGGTAATCTAACCTGGTCAGGTATCACTGACGGCTCCAATCATATTTATGGAAAAAATTTAAAAATGGATCCATAATAATAATGGAATGAATCTTTTAGGTCTGCAAATATTTCAGTCCCAGGCTGTCCTCTTTAACATATGTAGGAACACTTTCTTTAATGTTATTCAGATGACTTGGGTGATTCAATTTCTATGTTGTTTCTTCAGTGTGCTTTCTTACATAGATTTAAGCAAAATGGACATTTTGTAACCGGAGAAAAAAAATTTAGGCTCATTTTTGAATGGAATTACATATTACATTAAGCCAAAATGTTTCTTCAGCTTCACAAATTATGTGAACCTAACCAGTTGTGGTTAAAGAAACCATGGGTGAAAGTCATTAAGAAATAATTCAATTAAATTATTCATCCAAAATTTAACACCAAATATTATTACTTAATGAACTCCTTGTTGTTAATTGCGAAGTCGTGTCCGACCCATCGCGACCCCATGAACAACGTTCCTCCAGGTCTTCCTGTCCTCTACCATCTTCTGGAGTCCATTTAAGTTCACCCCTACTGCTTCAGTGACTCCATCCAGCCATCTCATTCTCTGTCGTCCCCTTCTTCTATTGCCCTCAATCTTTCCCAGCATTAGGCCCTTCTCCAGTGAGTCCTTCCTTCTCATTAGGTGGCCAAGTATTTGAGTTTCAACTTCAGGATCTGGCCTTCTAAAGAGCAGTCGGGGTTGATCTCTTCTAGGACTGACCGGTTTGAATGCCTTGCAGTCCAGGGGACTCGCAGGAGTCTTCTCCAGCACCATAGTTCAAAGGCCTCAATTCTTTTGCGCTCAGCCTTTCTTATGGTCCAACTTTCACAGCCATACATTGCAACTGGGGAAACCATGGCCTGGACTATACGCACTTTTGTTGGCAGGGTGATGTCTCTGCTTTTTAGTAGGCTGTCTAGATTTGCCATAGCTTTCCTCCCCAGGAGCAAGCGTCTTTTAATTTCTTGGCTGCAGTCCCCATCTGAGGTGATCTTGGAGCCCAGAAAAATAAAATCTGTCACTACCTCCATTTCTTCCCCATCTATTTGCCAGGAATTGAGAGGGCCGGATGCCATGATTTTGGTTTTCTTAATGTTGAGTTTCAAGCCAACTTTTGCACTCTCCTTCACCTGCATCAAGAGGCTCTTTAGTTCCTCTTCACTTTCTGCCATTAGAGTGGTATCATCTGCATATCTTAGGTTGTTGATATTTCTCCCGGCAATCTTAATTCCAACTTTTGATTCATCTAGCCCTGCCTTTCTCATGATGTGCTCTGCATATAATTTAAATAGGCAGGGCGACAGTATACAGCCTTGCCGGACTCCTTTTCCATTTTGAACCAATCAGTGGTTCCGTGTTCAGTTCTCACTGTTGCTTCTTGACCCGCAAATAGGTTTCTCAAGAGACAAATGAGATGGTCTGGTACTCCCATCTCTTTAAGAACTTGCCACAATTTGTTGTGATCCACACAATCAAAGGCTTTTGCATAGTCAATGAAGCAGAAGTAGATGTTTTTCTGGAACTCCCTAGCTTTCTCCATGATCCAGCGTATGTTTGCAATTTGATCTCTAGTTCCTCTGCCTCTTCGAAATCCTGCCTGTACTTCTGGTAGTTCTCGATCCACATACTGCTGGAGTCTAGCTTGTAGGATTTTAAGCATAACTTTACTAGCATGTGAAATGAGTGCAATGGTGCGATAGTTTGAACATTCTTTGGCATTGCCTTTCTTTGGAATTGGAATGTAAGCTGACCTTTTCCAATCCTGTGGCCACTGTTGAGTTTTTCAAATTTGCTGGCAAATTGAGTGTAGCACTTTTACTGCATCGTCTTTTAAGATTTTGAATAGCTCAGCTGGAATACTGTCACCTCCACTAGCTTTGTTGTTGCTCAGATTTTCTAAGGCCCATTTCACTTCACATTCTAGGATTTCTGGTTCGAGGTCAATGACCATCTCATTGTGGTTATCTGGGATGTTAAGCTCATTCTTGTATAGTTCTTCTGTGTAGTTTTGCCATCTCTTCTTAATCTCTTCTGCCTCTGTTAGGTCTCTGCCATTTTGGTCCTTTATCATGCCATCTTTGCATGAAATGTTCCCTTCATATCTCCAATTTTCTTGAAGAGATCTCTGGTCCTCCCTATTCTGTTGTTTTCTTCTATTTCTTTGCACTGTTCATTTAAGAAGGCATTCTTATCTCTTCTAGCTACTCTCTGGAATTCTGCATTCAATTGGGTGTATCTTTCTCTTTCTCCTTTGCATTTCGCTTCCCTTCTTTCCTCAGCTATTTGCAAAGCTTCCTGAGACAGCCATTTTGCTTTCTTGCATTTCTTTTTCTTTGGGATGGTTTTAGTTGCTACCTCTTGTACAATGTTGCGAACTTCCATCCATAGTTCTTCAGGCACTCTGTCTATCAGCTCTAATTCCTTAAATCTATTTGTCACCTCTACTGTATATTCATCAGGGATATGATTTAGTTCATACCTGAGTGGCCTAGTGCTTTTCCCTACTTTTTTCAATTTAAGCCTAAATTTTGCAACAAGAAGCTCATGATCTGAGCCACAGTCAGCTCCTGGTCTTGTTTTTACTGACTGTATACAGCTTCTCCATCTTTCGCTGCAGAGCACATAGTCAATCTGATTTCTATGTTGACCGTCTGGTGATGTCCATGTGTAGAGCCGTCTCTTGGGTTGTTGGAAAAGAGTGTTTGTTATGACCATCGTATTCTCTTGACAAAATTCTATTAGCCTTTGCCCTGCTTCATTTTGTACTCCAAGGCCAAACTTGCCTGTTATTCTGGTTATCTTTTGGCTTCCTACCTTAGCATTCCAATCCCCCATGATGATAAGGACATCATTTTTGGGTGTTAATTCTATAAGGTGCTGTAGGGCTTCATAGAACCGGTCAATTTCATCCTCTTCAACACCAGTGGTTGGGGCATAGATTTGGATTATTGTGATATTGAATGGTTTGCCTTGGATTCAAATTGAGATCATTCTGTCATTTTGGGGATTGTATCCCAGTATTGCTTTTCCTATTCTTTATTGACTATGAAGGCTACTCCATTTCTTCTGAGGGATTCTTGCCCACAGTAGTATACCTGATGGTCATCTGAGTTAAATTCACCCATTCCTGTCCATTTTAGTTCGCTGATTCCTAAGATGTCGATGTTCATTCTTGTCATCTCTTTTTTGACTTCATCTAGCTTGCCTTGATTCATGGATCTTACATTCCAGGTTCCTATGGAGAAAAGATCTTTACAGCATCGGACTTTCCTTTCACCACCAGATATATCCACAGCTGAGCGTCCTTTCGGCTTTGGCCCAGTCGCTTAGTTCTTTCTGGCGCTACTAGTACTAGCCCTCTGCTCTTCCCCAGTAGCATATTGGACACCTTCCGACCTGAGGGCTCATCTTCCAGCATCATATCTTTTTGCCTTTTAGTACTGTCCATGGGGTTTTCATGGCAAAGATACTGGAGTGGTTTGCCATTTCCTTCTCCAGTGGATCACATTTTGTCAGAACTCTCTGCTATGACCTGTCCGTCTTGGGTGGCCCTGCACGGCATAGCTTATAGCTTCATTGAGTTACACAAGCCCCTTTGCCACGACAAGGCAGTAATCCATAAAGGGGATATTTATACTACAAAATTCAATTCCATGTTTTTTTTAAATATCAGTGTATAAGAGATTAAAAGTGCACAAAACAGAAAACAAGCTTTATTTCAAGCCCAAGGCAAAATATCATACTCAGACATTCTGGATGGATTATTGTGTTGGATAATTTATTTGTAATTATTTTGAATTAATTATTTGTAAGTGTTTACAATTTAAATTATTAACCCAAATAATTTGGGCTATTTATTATGTATTTATTTGCAAAGCTGTTGTTGGTTTATAGTAATGATCGTGATTTTATAGAGCAAATAGGGTAAGCAGGTTGTTGATGCCTCTATTACTCCTCAATAAAGATTCGTTCATTTTCCATGGTATCAGTGTTGGTTTCTTGTATGTGCTTATTCCATACTGCAAGGGTCTTCGATGCTTGCATGGTTCGGAAGGGGGATAGCACACTGTTTTCCAGTGATTAAGTTTCTTTCTGAATGGACAGTGCTAATCAGAGTTCAGAGAAGGAGAGATTAAGTCCTTGGGGACTCAAAGAATCTCAGTCTATCCTTTACTATACTTTGCTTAACCGTTAGAAGTTATCTGTCAGTTTCAAATATCATTAGTAAATTGATTTTAGCCAACCTTATATCATCATCCCAGGCCAAGAACTAGGGGGCAGTGGGCATTCTGATCCAGTGACTGGTGGTTGTGAGGGACAGTATGGAAAGGAACTTAAGAGTATATCCTAGCCGGATGAATTTGTTTTACAGAAAACATCTAATTCCGTGGGTGTTGTTTTTTCTGGGAGAGCGATGTTATCCTTCAAAAAGCTGGTGTGTGATTTAGGAGATCTCCCAGATACGTGGTTCCTTCTATAGCAGCACATAGTGACTGTGGCCAATTCTGGCTAATCTGCAACTTATTTCCTTTCCTAGATACAGCAGGGAAAAGAGTTATTCATGTCTTTGTTTGGACTATTGCGATTCATAATAGATGGTGCTATCCTTGAAGAATGCAGGCGCTGGAGCCCTCTGAATCAAGTGGCACATGCATTATTGTAAAAGTAATAAAATCAATCCCCTTTACAAAATGAAGCAGGGCACAGGCTAATAGAATTTTGTCAAGAGAATAGGATGGTCATAACAAACACTCTTTTCCAACAACCCAAGAGACGGCTCTACACATGGACATCACCAGACGGTCAACATAGAAATCAGATTGACTATGTGCTCTGCAGCCAAAGATGTAGAAGCTCTATACAGTCAGTAAAAACAAGACCAGGAGCTGACTGTGGCTCAGATCATGAGCTTCTCGTTGCAAAATTTAGGCTTAAATTGAAAAAAGTAGGGGAAAGCACTAGGCCACTCAGGTATGAACTAAATCATATTCCTGATGAATATACAGTAGAAGTGACAAATAGATTTAAGGAATTAGATCTGATAGACAGAGTGCCTGAAGAACTATGGATGGAAGTTCGCAACATTGTACAAGATGTAGCAACTAAAACCATCCCAAAGAGAAAGAAATGCAAGAAAGCAAAATGGCTATCTGAGGAAGCTTTGCAAATAGCTGAGGAAAGAAGGGAAGCGAAAGGCAAAGGAGAAAGAGAAAGATACACCCAATTGAATACAGAATTCCAGAGAATAGCTAGAAGAGATAAGAATTCCTTCTTAAATGAACAGTGCAAAGAAATAGAAGAAAACAACAGAATAGGGAGGACCAGAGATCTCTTCAAGAAAATTGGAGATATTAAGGGAACGTTTCATGCAAAGATGGGCATGATAAAGGACCAAAATGGCAGGGACCTAACAGAGGCAGAAGAGATTAAGAAGAGATGGCA